AAAACTCAACTAAATTATAATAAATGGCGTCTTCATTTCAAAATGATCATGATTCAATACCCGGCCTAACTCATTTGGTGTCTACTTTCTAAATATCTTCACTGTTCTGTCATCGTGTCACGTCTTGTCTTGTTTAGTACAGTGGAAACACTTGCAGCTCGTACCAACCTGCTCCAAAGTCAAAGACAACTGACAGAAACGAGTGAAAAAGAGCAAGAGAGACTTGATTCATCCTGAGGAACAACTCCTCTGCTCTTCTCAGCGCCGTTGTGTCTCAGTCAAAAGTCTCAGTGTGGTTTAAGAGGAGAAGTGACAGGATCAGCAGATCTTTGTCAGGGCTGTTTGAGGAAAGAAAGAGACAAAAGTGTCCCTCCTCTGTGTCCTGCAGCATCACAACAGTGTCCAGGAGGAACCAGGTGAACACAACAGGAAAGGCCTCACTCTTACTCTGCTCTGGTGTTTCACTTGGTGATGAAATGGTTCGTTCTCTCAAAGTATTTCTCTAAAAGGTCTTCTGCCACATTTGCTGCCACATAAGGTGTAAACACCTGGAGCATGTCAAATGTCCATAGCGAGCTCCTTAACTAGCCTCTTACACAGCGTCAGTGGACATGGAAAAAAACAAAGAGTTCATTTCTCACAGTCCAAAGCCTTGTTTCCACTGGCACAGTTCACTTGGGGTCACTTTGGCGCAGAGCAGTTTGGAGGGGGCCACCTCCACCCAGGGAGCGTTTCCATAACAACAACTGGGGGCAGTTTGGGCGTCACACGGGTGCATGAGACACGCTCAGTAGTGTGATGTAGACCTGTGTCACGAGCCGCTGGACAGCTGTCAAAAGACCATTGCTAAACTAAAGGAGCATCAACACTGATTCAAATATAACTCTTATTTAATGTCTTATTGAACTTATTTGAATCAATACATTTTACTACACAGTGTTACCTGGATGGAGGTGGAGGATTATGGAGAACTTTACACAGTCTCGTTTGGCCACATCTCCACACTGGATATATACACCACATCAGGGAATTACGCTTTTAGTGGGATCGAGGAGGAGGATGTTGGTGGAGTTTGGTTCATGTTAGTCTGTGGACACAGCAGACTTTGACTGGATGTGGATTTATCATGAGTCACGTCTCTGTAAAGGCTCCGCACTGGAGACTGGACGTGTTTTGGGTGGATATAAGTTTCACGCTGCACGTTGTTTCTTCGGCTCTTCTGTTTTATTGGTAAGTGAACATCTGTGCTGTTGTTAAAGAACAGTTCCATGGTTCACACATGTTCCCACACGTGCATCACTATGGGCTGCTGCTGGTCCTCTGGATCACTCTACACTGTGGAAGCACTCAGGTTCCACACTGTTCCACTACAACCTGGAGCTTCATCAAATCAAACACTTCACAAACAAATGAAGGATGAAGCCAATTCCCAAGTAAATATTATTGTATTATTATATTATTTTATGATTATGATTTATGCACAAAATAGCAACACAGAATGACGAAGTCTAAAAACAGAGATGTAACAAAAAATGTAGTTAATATGATGAAGTGAGATTCAGGAGCAGGACCAGGCCTCAGCCGCCCTCTCCTCTCACCAGCGAACCACAACTCACCTCCACCACGCCTCGAATTTCCCAGAAGCCTGTATGTAGCAGCCTTTCCCATCATCCCAGTCTGTCTGGGCGAACTCGACCCCACCCTCCCATCCCCTATTTTGTCTTTCAGTCATAAGACTCCTACAAGGGGGGGTCCCGTTCCTGCTGGGCCAATTGAAGATTGAGACGGAGCCTCCACCCTGAGTCTCAACCCAGTCGTCTCTGCCCCACTTTGTACATTATCAATAAACTTCTTCGCACTATGTCGTTGTTGGTGTGGTCCTAACTAGTGAATCATTCATTAAAAGTGTTTTGTACTTTGTTTTTAATGTGGTTTTTCTGTTTGTATCAGGCTCTTGCACTTTGTGCCACTGTTGCACTGCCTCATTTATTCTTCTGATCAGCTCAGATTGTGGACATCAGAAGTGAGCAGAGCACCTGACCTGTGTGAACTGGATGTGTGGTCTATAACTGGAGCCAGAGTTGATGGACCTGGAAAGCGCCCATGTTCACTTCCTGTTTGGAACACCGTGGTTAGCACGCTGATGATCTTATTTTATTTAAACTCATCCCTGTGTCAAAATCATCCACTGCTTTGTAGAGAGATCTTGATAAGTCTTTACCTCATGCTCCTCTTACCTGACACTAAACTGATCAGAATTTTGCCGTTCTTCCTGAGGAGGCTCTGGTAGAATCTGAGGGTCGCTCCAGGATCCTCAACATAGTACAACATCTGTGAATCAGATACACAAATATAAGTGTGGAGGAGTTTGTGAACTCACAACCCCCGTCATAGAATCTGTCTTACTGTGGAATGTTAATAAACTGCACCTTCCCCACTATTTATATGTTGATGTCTGTTGTAAAGGATCATTTGAGGTGAGGGCACATACATGGAGCATGTGGATGAAGTCGACCTTCTTGGTGATATTTCTCTGTCTCCACTGCTCCTCAAACTCAGAGGCCGTCATCTGGTTCCAGGTGAAGTTTACAGGGTCCAAGTGGAACATCTGAGCCGCCCTCTCTGCACCACACACACAGAATTGAGAAGAACACAAATATTTAGATGTTTAAAGTGGGACTAAACACCTCAGCTCGTCTCAGGACCACATTTCAAGCTGATAAACTGGACAGTACCTGTTAGTCCTTTAAGGGAGAGTGAGGGGGGAGTAAGGACGAGGTCGGGGGGGTATAAGGAACAGTGTGATTGGTCTAACAGGTATCCACACTTCAAACTCTGTCCATCCAGGTTCTATTCAGTCCAGTCTGATGTCACAAAGCACTGGACATTGCTGTGGTCACACAAAATCTACAAATGGTCACATTTTTCTATAGCGCTTTTCCACCTTCAAGACACTCAAAGCACTTTACAACAAGGAACCACTCACACATTCACACACCAGTGTACACAGACACTGTGGGCAAGGTGGGTTAAGTGTCTTGCCCAAGGACACAACAGCAGCATTCATCTGTGGGAGCTGGAATCACACCAGTCAACCTGTGGGTCAGTGGATCTGACGCTCGACCTGAGATGTTCATGTCGAGAGCTGGAATCAAACCACCAACCTTCAGATCAGTGGGCGAATGCTCCACCAACTGAACTACTGCCGCCCAAATGTGCATAGTTTGGACTAAAATTGACACACAAAATAGAGCTGCACACAGTAGGTAAGTCTATTCAAACACAATGTGCACAGTTTACCCTCTACCCATTTTGTTTTGTTCATGTGCTTAAACAAAATGTGTCTTGCACATTACAGATATTGTATAAGCAGGTTTGAGGTCAGAATAAGTCTGATATATGCTGACTGCATCTAATTAAGCATTAGCACTGATGGAGCCCATATTATACAAGCTTGCCCAGCTTCTTTGGGTGTCCATGTTTTCTTCACACTTGACACAACTGTGGAAAAAAGTAATTAAATTGATTGACTGAATTGATTGACTGTTAACAGGGTAATTATTGACTCCACTCTTGTCTGAACATTTTTGAAACATGCTTATGTAGAAGGAGAGGAGAGGTGAGTATTTCTTCATAGCTGTGTGCCTGGGAAAAAAACACACCTGGTGTTTATTCTGGGTGACAAGAGAGGGATCAGAGACTGTTTATTCTGAGATAGAATGGGACTCTCACTTTGTGGATGATGCCAAACTGGTTAATATGTTACCAGTGGCCCATTGTCCATCAGAGCCACAGTGTTATGGACTAATGCACCTTATTACCACAGTACATCTGCAGACGAAGCAGATCCACTTCCTGCCCATTTGGGTGGGACAATTATCAACCAAACTTTACCAGACCATTACCTGATAAAGCCTGCCTTATGTAAAGGACTATGGACTGTTAGACTAATACGCTCTTTAACACCTCAGTCTGATGTTTCAGGTACATCAAATGGGTTCCCACGCTGATGATGATGATGATGATTATTATTATTATTATTATTATTTCTCTGAGACAGGGACAGCACACATTTTTTTACATTAACCTTGACTGGAGAGATGCATTGTACTAGTTTGTAGCATCAGTGCTCATTTCCACCTGTAGGTTCATTGATTGATTGTATTGATCTTGGAGACCTGTGTAGCATGTTATGAGGTGATGGGGGAAACCCATCCAGACATGAGGAGAAACATGCAAACTCCACACAGAAAGGCCTGGGCGACCTGGGGATCAACCCCAGAACCTCCTTGCTGTGAGACATGAGTGCTAGCCACTCAGCCACCGATTGCCTAAATGACATGTTTACACAGAACCCCTCATGTGTTAAGTGTTCAGAAACAAAAACCCTAGAAGTTTACGATCTCAAACAGAGTCAAAAGATTGTTCAGTGGGAGGCCTGAGTGTAGGGCTGTCAGAAGGTAAGCTGTGATCAGGGCCTGAGTTTGGTTGAATGTTTCCAGATATGAGCAGCAGGAGGATGATAAGAACACTCTGCTTAAACAGGTTATAACTGACATCCACCTTAATCTTGCATCCCACAGATGGTGAAATGGCATTAAAATGTGATCCTTCAAAACCAGCAGACTCATGAATGGGACCATGAATAAGGAGTCAGCGCTGGCTGAGGGTGGTGCAGGTCAAATTGAGACAGGTGTATGGATAACTGAGCGTGTTCCCCTGCCAGGCAGCAGAATGTTGACATGTAAAAATCACATCAAGACAGGGAGCACAGACTTATGAGATGCAGGGGACAAAGCAGGCATGGAGTCTGCGGAGAATCCTGTTTGCGTTTTCCCTTTAGCGTATCAGCTGGGTGTTGACGTTATGCTCCACTGCTGTAACCAGGAAGCGGAGGATCTTATAGTGGATGGTGCTTCACGACAAATCGCAGGACAAATGGTTGGCAGGAACAGAAGGCAACAGTACATTGAAATGACTGTAACCACATTAGATTGCCGGTGTGATAGCGGCGTATCACACCCCAAAACAGCGGCGTAACATTGGCTGCTAGATGCAATCTGCAGCAGCAAGTGACTGGTAAATCCAGTTACTCACACAATAAGTGAACATGTGCCAATATTAGCATCAAAGAAGCACAGACAGACACACAGCTCAAACACCTTTGAAAACAGTGAGACAGATTATATATTTCTTCTGTACCTTTGTATCTGAGAATCCGAAGTGTGCTTGGCTCCACCACCTCATTATCCAGCAGCACCCCTGGGTGCTTCACACGCAGCTGGGAGAGAATCTCCATGTCGAAATTACCTACATCATAAAACAATAACCAATAACCAATAAATCATTTTATGTTCCCAGAACTCTCCTGCATAAAAAAATAAAATAAAATACAAATCTACAGCAGGCACTTATTCTGACTCAGGATGTGACAATATCACATTTGAGTGTGAAGAAACATCACTATTTAATGATTGTTCATGATACACAGTTAGAGTGTAACACAGACATGTGATGAGCTCTTACCTTCTCCAGTCCCAAGTCCAATGATGTTTATTGATTTCCCATCCCCGATGCTACGAGACACAAAACAATTACAAACTACATTTTACCCATTCTTCAAGGTGCTGGTCGGAGTCATTTTGGGGTGTCTCTTAATTGCAGGTATGACAAAAATGTGCATTTATTCAAGAATTTGGATATGATCTTGTTTCATAGCACAAGCCTAAATTTATAATGTAGCCATACCGGCCTGTCAAAGTCTGATCTCATCAGATCTCAGACGCTCAGCAGGGTTAGGTCACAGGGGGGTGCCAGTTGTAAAAACTGTTGTTGTGTCCTTAGGCAAGGCACTTCACCCTCATTGCATAGTATGAAAGTGGTGTGTGCGTGAGTGTTGGTGGAGGTCGGAGGGGCTGATGGTGCAGATCGGCAGCCTCGATTCAGTCAGTCTGCCCCAGGGCAGCTGTGTCTACAGTTGTAGTTTACCACCAGGTATGGAGTGAATGAATAATGCTCTGTAAAGCTTCTTTGAGTGTCCAAACATGCACTATATAAAACTCATGCATTCATTATTATTATTAATATTTATTAAAATGACTATTTAAACCAAATCATTGCACAATTCTAATCATACCAAAGGGAGATGTGATAGTAAATTAAAAATACATGAGGTGTTATTAGCAACCATTTTCTTTAGGAGCAATAAAGACCTGTAACTGAATAAATACAAAATATAGTGTAGTATTTAAAAGAGTCATATTCTGTGTAACATTCTGGGTATATAGTGCAGACTGGGTACTGTGTAATGTATTTGGAGCTAAAATATTTCCTCATACATAAAACAATAGAACATCCAACCCCAACAAAATGACTTATGTTTCTTCTTTTAACTCTAATTATAGCCAGTTTTCCTTATGAAACTTACATTATGGTATCATGTAAGATAAATAAATAAATGCTGACTCATTTCTTTTAGTTTTAGTCATAACTATTTTACTATTTTAAAACAAAAACATATATTTTATCAATTCGTTGTTCAGTGGAAATAAAGACTAAACCCACTAGAACAGTGGAACTAAACATACTTTGTTCACTACCAAACTGTAAAATGATGATAAATAATAAGCACAGGTCCCTTCAGACCAAGTCATACTTATACAAACATGAAAAGCTCAAATGCATTTAAAGCCCCTTTCTAGCCCCTTGACCAAAGCCTTTACCTGGCCAGTTGTTCAGGCAGGATTGTAACCCTAACCTTCTCTGTACTGATGTTCACCTAAATGCAGCTTTTACGCGGTGAAGGACTTATCATAACCATCGTCATCATGAACGAGGGACTTGAGAGGAGAAGCCATGGTGCTCTGTGCTGGGCTCACAAAGAAAGGCTGGAGCTCTACTGACCACTGAGTCTGTGTCAATATTTGTAGTCAACACTTCCTCACAGCCAACCAATCCGATTTGCTTATTTCAGTGATAGTGTGTAAACCCTTAACCAGAACACTGTCCTGTTGGTGGGTCAGCAGTAGTGGCCAGTCACAGTAAACTGCACAATAATAAATGATGAAGAAGGATACTCCTAAGTGTCATGATTTAAAGAGTGCAAGTAAAGGTAAAACACATCACTTTTCTGTCATGTCATCCTCACAACAACAAATGTCTGCTGAGTAGGAAAATATGTCTGAGGAAACTGAAGAAAAGTGATTCACCTTACCTGCTTTGGAACTGATTGACATTTGTGTTGGAAATAAATGTAAATGATGAAGATAAGGACTCACCTCGCAAACTGAGAAGGCTCATACTTCAGCATTTAGATAGTGATGATGTCACTGCTCGCCAAGATGGAGGAATGTCTTTATTGTTAATAGTTAATGATGGAAGAGATGAACTGAAAACGCTGTCCAAGTCTGGTCCCACACCACCACAGCTCAGTCTAGTGGACAATGTTAGCACTGCATCCAATATACAGAAAAGACTTGACAATTATTGGGCAAAGTGGGGAACATGGACAAGGACAAGTTGGGATTTGCAAGTTTGGCCAGGCAAATTACGAAAACAATCAAGAAAGGATATGATAAATGTGACATTGTCAATGCTGTTGCTCAAGCAGTTCACCAAAACTGAGAAGTTAACTTGAAAGTAGAGATGACCTGTCACTGCAAGCTCTGAAACAAAGTTTAAGGACTCATTTTGTTGAGAAAGATGCCACTGAGCTGTACCACACCCTCCCTCATGCTGCCCAAGAATCCAGAGAGACTCCAGTTCAGGGCTTTGTGTCACATTTTCAATGAAAAGAGCTCTAAAAATAAAGTTTGATTTGATTTGATTCAGTTCCTTGTTCAAACCATGGACTTAAGGCAAAACATACTTTGCCTCAGAGAGAGCAGACACTGGATTACAGCACAGCCCAGGACTCATTCAGAATCAGTTCATACAAACAATACTCAATGGACAATGGAGAGGAAGAACAAGCTGTCAACAACTAAGGCTAGAGTCAAAGTGTCTGCAGTGGGTAATGATTCAGACACACTATGACACACTATCAATCAATCAATCAATCAAACTTTATTTGTATAGCACTTTTCATACATTTGAAATGTCGCACAAAGTGCTTCACATGCAACAGAAAAAAATAAAATAAAATAAAATTACAATATTAAAAAATAACAGCAACCCCCCACCTCATTATTTCATGCACATATACAACAATAAAACATAAACATAAAGCTCCTAAAGGTTATAGTAAATATATAAATAGAGCTAAAAACAGATGGAGACTAAATAAAATATTAATGTAATTTAATTAAAAGCAAATAGTAATAATAATAATAATAATAATAAAACAAGTAAAAGTTTCAATTAAAAGCTAAATTAAAAAGATACGTTTTGAGTTTACTTTTAAAAATATGAACACTCACAGTGGACCTCAGATCCTCAGGTCGACTGTTCCACAAACGGGGGCCGTAAAAGCTGAATGACGCCTCAGCGTGAGTTTTAGTTTGACTCTTGGGACAGTTAAAAGACGAGACCTGAGGACCTGAGAGTCCGAGAGGCTCATATGATAAAAGCAGATCAGATAAATAAATAGGACTAAGACCATTAAGAGCTTTATAAACTAATAAAAGAACTTTAAAATCTCTCCTGAAGCTCACAGGAGCCAGTGCAGAGACTTCAGTACTGGGGTGATGTGCTCTCGCTCCCTGGTCCTCGTCAGCAGCTGCAGAGTTTTGGAGGAGCTGCAGTGGAGCTGTAGATTTCTTTGGAAGACCAGAAAGGAGAGAATTACAGTAATCAACACGGTTTGTAATAAAAGCATGAATTAAAGTCTCTGCACTGGCTTGAGAGAGAAATGGTCTGACTCTGGCAATATTTTTTAGATGATAAAAACCAGATTTAGTGATGGACCTGATGTGTGGCTCAAAGCTAAACTCACTATCAAGAGTAACTCCTAAACTTTTCACCCTCTCACAGGGGTTCAGCTTTGAGTCTCTCTCTCTGAGCTTCAGGACCAATAATTAAAACCTCGGTTTTGCCCTGGTTGAGCTGGAGGAAGTTTGCTGCCATCCAGGACTTAATATCTAAAATGCAGTTAAAAAGGGTGTCGATGGGGCTCAGGTCATCAGGAGACACGGTGATATAGAGCTGGTATCATCAGCGTAGCTATGAAAGTTAACACCGTGTCTCCTGATGACCCGTCCTAGTGGCAGCATGTAAAGATTAAAAAGGGTTGGACCTAAAATTGAGCCCTGGGGAACACCGCACTCCATTTTACATTTTGCGGAGGAGTGTTCCCCAAGACTAACATAAAAATCCCTGTTTGTTAAAAACGATTTGAACCAGTTAAAAACAGACCCAGAGAGACCGAGTGCATAATGTATCTATCTAATAAAATCCAGTGGTCGACAGTGTCAAATGCTGCCGTGAGATCCAACAGCACCAGGACTGACAGGTTCTTCTTGTCCATGTTGGATCTTATATCATCTAGGATCTTTACTAGTGCAGTCTCTGTGCTGTGCTGAACTCTAAAACCAGACTGATGAATTTCAAAGATATTATTGGCAATCATAAAATCATTAATTTGGTTAAAAACTATTTTCTCTAATATTGTACTTAAAATCGTCAGATTGGACACAGGTCTGTAGTTACTGAGCAGGGAGGGGTCCAAGTTGTCCTTTTTAAGCACAGGTTTGACCATAGCAGTTTTGACTGGTGTTGGAAAAACCCTGTCTGCAGCGACACATTTACAATGTTAAGGACTTCTTGGGCTAAAAAATTAAAAACTGATTTAAAAAGTGATGTAGGGGACTTCCGGTGGCGCCATGTTACAGGCAACAGCGTAAATTACACGCTCCGTCCGATTTAATATAAATTCCTAACTTACCCATTATATAACTCGGCAATTTCTAATCAGATCAACATGGCAGTATCTCTGAGAGGCAAGGGAGCAACCAAACAAGATCAAGCTAAAGATAAAAGCGAACATTTGAAACAACAACTAACTCTGCAAGCCTCAAGTGCGGCTGTAGATGCTATTGCTAACGCTAGCATGCGTGACTCAGAATCAAAAATATTAGCAGAGCTCGAGAGACTCAGAAAGGACTATAGAGATGCCACATGGAAACCCAACAATCCTTGACAAGACTGGAGGAGTCTTTCAAGACTCTAAGAGAAGATATGTCGAGTCTGGAAAAGAGAACGACAGAGGCTGAGGACCGTATCAGCGCCAATGAAGACAGCACCAGGCGCCACGGACGGACACTTCGGTATTTGCTACACAGAGAAATGGATCTGACGGCGAGATGTGAGGACATGCAAAACACACTCAGACGGAACAACTTGAGGATTTATCGTGTCCCAGAGGGAAGTGAGGGAAAGGATGTTAAACAGTTTGTCCAAGAGTTGCTTAAATCTGTCCTTCAACTTCCTCCTGAACTTAACATCGGCATAGAGAGAGCGCACCGAGTCATCACCGCCAAGCCCAGGAAGCCCAACGCTGCGCCGCGCTCGCTGCTGGTCACATTCTGGGACTATTCTGTGAAAGAAATCATACTACGACAAGCCTGGAGCAGAGAAGAGTCGTGTACAAGGACGAGCAGATTTATTTTGACAACGATTTTTCTCCCGAGTTGCAGAAGAAGCGAGCGTTGGTTCGGGACGCAGTGAAGCAGCTAAAACTGAAGAATATCAGAGCCAAGTGCGTGTTCCCTGCACAGCTGAGAGTGTCACTGGACGGCAGCGAAAAAACGTTCCCAACAATGACGGACGCTCTACCGATGCTACGGGAGCTGGGGTTACAAGTACGTGTGGATGAGAGGGAGCGCTTGGACACGGAGCTGTCCCGGGACCGGTGGAGCACCGCAGGAGGAAGACCAGGTAGAAGTCCCGCTGCACTGTCCCATGCGGAGATTAAAGCCTTCTTTATGGATGAGGACTGAATGAACGGTTCCAGTTTTCGCCGAGTTCATACGAATAGTTTTGATAAGTAAACGTTAGGAATAAGAAATCATTTTTTGCTCTTTTGACTCCGGGCGGGACGTCAGGACACGAGTGGATTCGACACCACTTCGCCTAAAGCTGCAGCGAACCGCACTGGGAGCGGATGACAGGACAACACACTCTTCGTGTTTTCTCCCCCCCACGGAGGACCTGTCCCCACCCTCCGCCCAGGACACATCGGGGACTGGATTTGCCAGGTTTCAGTGTAACTGCTGTATTACAACTGTTCTTAATCCAGTCTGGTATGTGGAAGTTACTGTTCATAATGTTACTGTTTGTTCTAAGTTCACTTGTAAATGTTCTTATGTCCTGACACTACCTATGGGCCATTATTTCACTATATGCAATAACAGTTTTTTACGTGTAAAATTGAAGAAAGCTAAAAATCTAAGAAATGGATAATTTAATTTGTGTTTCTTACAATGTAAAGGTTTGGGCAGTCCAATAAAAAGGAAGAAAATATTGAACCATTTAAAAAAATTTCATTGTGCAACTGCAATGCTCCAGGAGACCCGCCTCAGAAAAGGAGCACATGAAGCTGAGGAGAGAATGGGTTGACAACAATACAGCTCTACATATCAAAATGGGAGAAAGAGGGGAGTCACAATCCTTTTCAGTAAGACAATATATTTTTGTCACGAAAAAACATTCACAGACGAGGAGGGGAGGTATTTGATGGTAATTGGCTCAATAGGGGGTCTAAAATCACTTTAGTAAATGTATATGCACCAAATGAGGACTGGCCAAAGTGTTTTAAGAGTCTTGCATCACTAACAGCAGAGAGATGAAGGGATCATTCTGGTAGGAGGTGATTTCAACTGTGTTTTGTGAGGACCTGTGGATAGACGTCCTGCAGACTTTG